CCTCAATTCTTATGCTGAAGATATATTTTTATACCAAGTAAAAATGAGGATAAAATACTCTAGAGAATATTCCATAAGGGAACAACCCATAATCCTCTAGTAGCCCCTCTTGAACTCTTGTTCACGTAGATAGCAAAAAGGGGGAGGTAGTTAGTAATCGCCTATTTTGGACTTATGTCCACACGAATAGACCAATTAGGCAAGTCTTGTCTCCCATATGCCAACTTTGCTACCACGTGTAAGCTACATATCAGATGATAATTGGTCGATAATATTTTATCTATCACTTACAATATTTTTCAATAGCATTCTAGTATTTTCAACACCTTAATAAAAACACTAATGCTATTAGAAAACACTATGAATGAGCAAAATAAAAATAATGCATGGTCCAAACTGATAGAAAAAGTATCATTAGGGCTAGTGAGGAATATTTTATGTATTATTGGAAACATGAACACTATTTAAGAAAAACAAAAATAAAAATCAGCCCTTTTAGAAAAAAAATTTAAAAAATAAAAATAGAAACTTTTTAGAAAATAAAAAATTTTCTGAAAAATCACCCCTCAAAAAAGGTACTTTTTAAAAAATAAAAATAGAATTTTTTTAGGATATCAAGGATGCATTTTCGAAAAAAATAAAAAATAGGGTTAGCGAGGACACCTTTTAGATAAAATAATAATAAATAGAAAAATTTTCATAAAATTTTTCCCTCCATTAATGAAATTTTTTTTGGGTAAACTACCCTAAAATATAAGTGTATGAGAAATATTTATCATAAGCAAATACTTGTCTATAAGTCTCCATACTCATGTAGTGTCTAAGTCTCACATATATTGAATTTCACTAGTATGCCAATAAAAGCACAAATAATATGTATATGTTATCCTCATTCTATGATATGATTTATGATGCATATTTTTTAAAATATATTATTTTCAGTGTTTTATGAAATATTGACTGAGCATGCACAAGCATTAATATTTATATTAAGTATAGTACAACAGGCCAAAGTATGTTAGCGGACTTTAATACGAGGTTAAATTATTTTAATATTTAAGGTAGAGTAAAAATATTTACGTTCGAGGATCAATATTTGAGATGAAAAAAATCTTGAGTTTTATATATATTTTAAAATATTCAATTATATGTGATGTTATGATATGATTGATGTTGTAAAAATATATTAATCTTGGAATTTTTTGGATTAGATATGTGAATTGTAAAGGATTAAAATATGCATTTAAAGAGAAGTTGGTGATTTTTATGTTTGTAAGGACCTATGTATAAATATAAATCTTATAGGGAATAAACGGTAAAAGTGAAAAAAAAAAAAAAAAAACAAATTAAAATGGGGTAAATTTTGTCCCACTACCTCCCACACACCTCGGCTTCCCATATGAGGAAAACGGAGGAGGGGTGGTGTGCCGGTGGAGGAGAAGGGAAGGAGAGGAAGAAGAGAAGAAGGAGAAGAAAAAGAGAAGGGAAGAAAGAGAAAAGAGAAGAAGAACAGGAAGAAGAGAAGGGGAAGAAGAAGAGGCTACGGTTGGAGTAGAAGAAGAGGAAGGAAGATGAGAAGGGGAGGAAGGAAGGAAGAATTAGAAGAAGAAGGGGGTTGCGGATGCAAAGAGGAAGAAGAGAAGAAACAAAGGAAGGAAGAAGAATAAGGGAAAAGGGAGAGAAGAAAGGGAAAAAATAGAATAAAAGAGGAAAAAGAACAGAAGAAATAAATAAAAGAAAATAAAATAAGAAAAATATTTACCATTTGCTAGCACACTCATCATAAAGGAATATGACCTTTCACTAGCATCTTTATTTTTCAAGTTAAATCAAGTATAAGCTCAATTATTAAATAGTGGTCGTATATTATCGTATGCATGATTTATTTTAAAAATATGTTTCGAATGATATGAGCACGAACACAAAGTGCTTTTCATGTGGTAAAGGTGTGTAATCTCATGAAGACAAAGTTCTTATGTGGTAAAGGTGCAAAATGAAGTTCTCTTCATATGATAAAGGTGTATAATCTCATGAAGACAAAGTTCATTTTATGTGGTAAAGGCATGTAATAACATAAAGTTAGTTTTCTTAATGTGTTCAAATTTATTATGATATAAGGAATGCACATATGTTATACGGTATAAAGAGTAAATTATTCATTATAGATTTTATTTTGTAGGTAAGGATAGTAAGGATACTAGTACCTCATTCAAGTGATTGGATAGTAAAGTGAGCACGTGCAAGCTCAAGTGAACATATATATGGATGATAACTTGTAAGCGATTGTGTAGAGAAATTTTGGAATATGTTATATTATGTTAATTTTGGACATGTTAGGGTTTGGTTTTTCTATTTAGTTAAATGATATATAATTCTGTATAGACATCAAAATTATTATGCATAGAGGAAACCCTACCGTTTTATTTAGATATTTGTATATTTTAAAATTTAAGATTGTATACCTTTCGCTGCATTCATATCGATAGTAGTAATAATAAAAATGAAAGAAACATGACATCCCACCTTAGTGTTACGTACTTAGTTGATTTTACCTAAGTCATGCGGTATACTTATATTTCTATCCGCAAAGGTTTGCCTCACCGAAACCTCCTATAGTTTCATAGGACCTACAAAAGAGAAAATGGGTTAGAGAAAACATCTCACTCGAGATTCATAAGCAATTATTTTAGCAAACACTTCATAGCTAATACAAATTACAAATAGACTTCATAAGCTTTGAATGGTCGCACAACAAAGAGTCTAAAATGATCAATTATAGATTAAAAATCTCCATAAGTGCTGACATGATACAATATTTATTTGCAAGCCTAAGACAACCACCAAAACCAAAGAAAATGAGGCTGCTAAGCCTAATGTCGGCTCTTTATATGCTGTGCAAAGCATGAATAAAACTAAAAGACATGAACATACATGAGCATTACATAAAACACCATGTTTACAGTTTTGTCCATGACATTCTTCCAAACTTATTCATTTGATGTCCTCGTTGAAGCCTTTGTAGACATTGCATATTATCGTTTTTACTGAGTTTTCAATCTTCTGCTTTAGTTGTAATGTGCCTCTTGACTCCCAATTGGACACCGTCTCTATTGTTGAGTAGTCGAACTTTGAGCCGACATACTGTTCAAAGTTTTTCATACGAGTTATGGAAAATGCTCGCTTCTTATGGGATTCAAACTATTCACCGAATATATCCCCACTTTGGATAGATTATTTAGATTTGATATTAGAGAGTGCATATTTATCATTTGCATGGATTTATTTTCGAGTCAATACATGAACATTAGTTTTTAACACGAGTTCATCATATTTGTTGGGAGGACCGATAGAGCCAAATGTGAAAGATTTGTTTCCAGCACAAACTGGAAAGCTCACGTTTTATGAATCTTGACATCCCTCATATGCAGAGTGATAGAAAGGAGAAGGCATTCGATTAGAAGAAACCTAACTGTAGCTATTACTATTTTTTATGCTAAAATTCAAGGATATGTTTGGACGAGTACGTGTGATCAGATGGAAACTAAATGGTGCAAACCTTCCATATGATGAGTAAGAATTAGTACAAATGGAGGGTTGGTTTAAAATAAAGCTTCTCTATTTAGTGAGGCTATGGACGCCCCGATGGAGCAATTCCACATGACGATCCTCTTTATGGCATCTTTATCTAAAATAGGATTAATTATATAAGATATTATCTTATACAGTTAGTTATCTTTAGGATTAATCTTTATACTTACGAAATTAAAATATATAATCTTATTTTTTTTTCTCACGCATCTCTTAATAGAAATATTGCATGTGCTGTTACGTGTGAAAAATGATACTAAAATAGGAATAAAAATAATTTTACATTATTATTATTATTATTTCTTCTGTAATTTATATGAAAGCAGTAGTTAATTATGTAGTAATAAACGGATGAGGAGAAGGTAAGATCATAAAAGAGAAATCCCTCTATCGAGTATTTTATTTTCTAATAAAACCTCGTGAAATAATTGAATAGTACTGTCTCACTTCGTTTCCAAATAAATTTTTTTTTTTATTTTGAACGATGAGAATAATATTATAAAATTATCTTCTTAACTCTAATTTAGTATCATTTTTTACATATGGCAATACATACGATGTTTTCGTTAGCAGAGTCAATAATATAAATAAAAATAATGATAAATATTTTATTTTTATAAATATAAAAATCTTAATATCCAACAAGTCGGACATGACAGGATTTCCAACTCAGCCACCAATTATCCTGTTGATGCTGATCTTTATCTTCATCATCGAATGCGAAGGAACTTTTTGCTTGACAGTGGACACGCAGTGTGCGTCTGTGTTTAAACATACCAAGGGAACCAAGATCATGGGAGCGTGCGTCGGCTGTCACGCCCCCAATCCAACACCGGCTGAAGGGATAGCCATTCTCAACGCATCATGTCAGGAAGAAATATTTTTCGCCTCCAGAGGCCTCAACCATGAAGACTGTGCTCTAGTTGACTTTCTAGATGCCTCAACCATGAGCAGTTCTTGGCCTGGGCCGAAGTCTCTGCTCGGGTTGACTTTTTTGCACTGTTCAATTCCTCAAATGAGTAATTACTAATTTTGCTTAAGAAAATAATCACCAAGATTTTATGCTCTCAATCCCAAATTGGTAGAGGATAAAAAGAAAGGAGAAACCCGCCTTGTTCGACACGTACAATTAAGCGATCTTTTGGGCACGGTCACAACTCATTAAAGGTCAGACAAGGTTGGCCTCCACTTAGCATATTTGTTTCTGGATAGTACACGACGGGTTAGTGCCCTCAGCCCACAGAATGAGTTGGAAACCAGTTGATGCCCATGTGACTCTCCCCCGCCCCCCTCCATTTACTTGCATGCCGCTGTCTCTCCTCCTTCCATTGGTTTGACAGCATGGTCTGACAGGAGAATCCGTCAAAGACAAAACCATGGACATCTCTCTCTCTCTCTCTCGCAGTTCTAACTCGCATTATATATCGAACCTCATAACTGTCATCTTCTCTATCAGAAGAAGCCGCCATGGCTTGCATGATTTCAGATGAGATGCTGGGGACGTTCGTACCTGTTCTGGTTTACTGGGCCTACTCCGGGCTGTACGTGCTGGTCGGATCCTTCGACAAGTACCGGCTGCACTCAAGGAAGGAGGAAGAAGCCAAGAACTCAGCCTCCAAGGGGAAGGTCGTCGTCGGCGTCCTCGTTCAGCAGGCGTTCCAAATCGCTGTCTCCCTCCTCCTCTTCACGGTAATGAACGTAAAAACCAACTTGATCTCAAATCAGGACGTGTTCGAGTGTCTTACCTTTGGCTGGATCCCAAGCAGATGGCTCCCAAAGCCGAGGCGACCACCGCGAAGCCTTCCATCTTGGTGGTGGGATTGCAGTTCGCGGTGGCGATGCTGGTTCTGGACACATGGCAGTACTTCATCCACCGATACATGCACATCAACCGGTTCTTGTACCGCCACATCCACTACAAGCACCACAGCCTCATCGTGCCCTTCGCCTACGGGGCTCTGTACAACCACCCGCTCGAGGGGTTGCTGCTAGACACGGTGGGCGGCGCCATCTCCTTCCTCGTCTCAGGGATGACGCCTCGCACCGCCATCTTCTTCTTCTCCTTCGCCACCATCAAGACCGTGGACGACCACTGCGGGCTGTGGCTTCCGGGGAACCCGCTCCATGTGTTGTTCAGCAACAACAGCGCCTACCACGACGTCCATCACCAGCTCTACGGCGGCAAGTACAACTTCTCCCAGCCATTCTTTGTGGTGTGGGATAAGATTCTGGGGACTTACATGCCGTACTCGCTGGAGAGGAGGAAGGATGGGGGGCTTGAAGCAAGACCAGCAAAAGACTAGCATTAGGGATAACATTTCTTCATACATCTTGCCTGCAGTTCATCCCGCCAACCCTGTGGATGCATGTATTCCATATTCTATCAAATTAGATGATAACCATTAGAGCAGTCTGTTGTGGACAATAAAAGCATGAAGAAATGAGAAAGCCAACATATAATATTTCTGCAAGAGTTATTTTATGGTAAGAGAAGACTGAAATGTGCTACTCGGGTTGCCCAACCAAAACTCTCTGGGTGGAATACTTCAACACCAGATGGATGACATTATCAACACCTGCAACACAGCTCCAACAGTATTGACGTTTATGGTTGGGATTGACGAGGACCTGCCAAGAAGCTAATGAATGCAAGAGACTCTGGAAACACAGTCGTAGTTGGAAGCAGTAAACATATAATTAAAGCTAATAATGTGACAAGTTCCTCCATTGATGTCTTGTCTCTCTGTAGATTAAACTCAAGAGAACGTAAAAGAATATATATAGAAAATGAATGAAGATGAATCAGAGGATGATTTGATTGAATTCAACAAATCAACATTCCATCACTTGCTAAGATATAAGCCTCTGTTTCTTTATCAAAAAAAAAATGCAAGGGTTGTTCTACTAACTGATAGTTTCACCTTATTGTTTTAATTAGACCACATAAAAGAGCAAAAGAACATTTGGGAAAACATGAAACTATGTAGTCAATTGAAGATATAATCCTCTAATTATTTCAGCAGGATTGCTAACCATATTAAAATGTTGACCTAAGTATCAGAAAAAAAATAGCCTGTAACACAATCATATCATCCATGTTCTCACCTTTAGTTATCTGACAAGCCACTAATTAAATCTCTCCTCTATAAAACCTAGAGCACATTGTGCCATATTCCCAGGTAACCATGAGAAGCCAAACAAAGAAGGTTTAGGAGGAAATAAGATAACTCTAAGCACCCTAAAAGGCAATATTTATCTAAAAAACAATACAAAAGAAACCACCAACACCAATAGAAGAAAATAGAATGATATACCTGATATGGGTAACTTATTCGCCAATTTGAACTCATGTTCACGTATCAAAAGAACTGAACAATATGAAATAATCAACAAAATATTCAAGCTACAGACTAAGGTAGTATTTTTCTTGGTATTTTACCTTTGTAAAAATATGTATTATCAACGATACTTTTCATTTGTTAGTGCAGATCCAGAAGTGCTATCTAAGAGAAAAGGCTCGTAAAAGAGAATACAAATATATCTCAGAGCTCAAAGGAAACAAGAGCGTTCAAGTTTCTTACAGCAGTTGATTTAGGCCAGTAAAGAAATGACGAAGCATGTAATAAAATTTTCAATGTAAATTATGTGCATCCTTTTAGCTAAAACACAGAAATGGTAATAAAAAATCAAACAAACAATGGCATTCAGGTTTCAATATGCCACCATCTAATCTTGCATTGCGTTTTCACAATTGATATATGAGAAATCCATGACAGTATAGCATTTCAACATAGAATGAAGAACGTAGACAAATTTAATGTGTTCAAGACTGGCTCCACCAAACAGCATTTTCTCCCAACGTATAAAAGTGATTACGGACATAAAGCTGAAAATTATATGCAAACATATAGCAAGTCACTGATCCTACAAATTAAAATAAAAGAAAATTATAATAAAATAACATCATGGTCGATAAGAAACATCAAAAATTTATTGCCCAAAAATGACTTCATTCATTGTCATATGGGGGGCTACAGATCGCAATGGTGGAAACATCTACACAGTGGAAAAAAATAAAAAAGGAAAACAACTATTGGCAAATGGCATAACCAGAAAGGACATCTTTCCATCATAAAATGAAAATATAGGGCACTTTGCCCAGCATCAAAAGTACTAATTCTAAATCAAGTACTCGAAATCCTTACACAGGCGAAGCTCTATGTTATTCTGAATTAGATGCCAAAGTTGCAGAGCTGCAGGAAATCCATTTCGGTATCAACATACTTTGTCCAGAGATGCTTGTATTGGTTCAGGGCCACATCAAGCCATGGTTTCATGTTCCCATCAAAGTGTATTACAGCTGCATTTCGAATCTCATCAGGACTTACACTTGGATTATAACCAAGACCCATAACATGCCAAGTCTTATCCAGTGGCTTTGTGGTAGTGTAAAAGGTAACTAGTCCAGCTGGAAGCACAGATGCCGGGTTCCAGAGAGTTCCATCCTCATTCTGTCATAATGACAGCATCGATCCAGATGTCAAGCAACTAAAGTTTTTCTTTAAAGAATTTATAGACATTGGCTAATTGAAATAAATAAATTGAAGATCCAGGAAAACACTGAATAAATATCATTTAAACATAACAGAAGGATACTATCAAAGAGCTTAGAAAAAATTTAATGCTAAAAACATTATGAGAGGCAATAAGCAAGAGGAACCCTAAAAATGCTCAAAGGTGAAGCAAAGGAAAAGTTAGCAAAAATTTAGGACAAAAGACAAAAGGAACCTTTCTGCAATATTTAGGATTCAGGCATGGACATCTAAGTGCAACCCTTGGGTCATGGTTAGGTTGCTTGGTTTGAGCCACAAAATCAAGTGATATTCTGTTTATTTAAGTACTATGTTACTGGAATATGTCTTTTGTGATGAACAGGTTACAAACTCTAAATAATAGCTTGCATATCATCAATATATATCACAAGATGTAACCACATATTCTTTTTACCATAAATATATCTTAAGCTTTATTACATATAAAATTTATTTAGAATATCTTTTATTGTCATATCCGTGTCATATTGTACCATATTTTTTCAAGATTTTCCATATCCATGTATTCAAATGTTTTTGTATTGAATCCTACTAATATTCCATATCGGTATATCCATGCTTCATAACTGAAGCATATGAAGCCAACCTTAACATGTCACTGTGCTGTAACTACAGCCTCAACTCTAGCAGGTCATAAGAGTGTTCAGTCTGTTCTAGTACAGCATTATTGTTGTAAACATCATTATAGATTTCTCATTGCTAAAACTTTAGACAAATCTTTTTTCATATTCCACATTCATGCCCTGTGGCTTCTTTCCAACATCATCAATGTAACTCTATATGGATGTTGACATGTGTCCTTGCAGGCGCAGGGAGACTTGACTGTGACATCATGAAACGATAATCTAAATTGATTTCTACCTTGGACTGGTTGAAGCCAGTATACAAGAATTTTCACCGCTGGTAAAACCAAAGGATGGCATTGATGTAAAAAGATGAAATCTGAGAAGTGTGTGTTCTCTGGATGGGAACTCAATCATCAAAGGCTCATCTAAATTGCTCCCTTTCTCAGAGTGGTTGAAGTCAGTAGATAAACGATTATTTTACCACCGGCAAAACCAATGGATAACATTGATGTTATTATACCAAATCTGAGAAAGATGTTTACAACAGATGGTAACTCAATCTTAAACAGAAACTTATCTGCTGTTATAGTAAGAAAAATAGAGGAGGAAAAAGATAAAGTGGAGTAAAAATAATAGGAAAAGAGAAAGAATCTTAAGCGTGCAGACAAAAAGAGATAATAATGCTTTAAGGCTAAAGAAATAAGCTCACTTCCACTAAAGACTCATATAAAATTTATTCATTCTCAGTTGCATACTCAGATTTAAATTTTATTGATCCCACTTTAATCCTTAAAGGCCTATCAACAACCGAAGTACCCTTTCCCTCTCAGATGAGGATATAATTTGAGCTGTTGTATGTACATAAGCACATAGATAAACTATTATTAACAAATCAAAGCAAGGATCGAAATTCCATATAAAATTACAGAAAAAGGGAAGTCTACTAACGAAATAGACAATACTTAGAGTTAACCTAAACAAACCTCAACTACATCAAGATTAACTGCTGAGATTAACAAAGCATAAGTGCAGCACAGTCACACTAGGCAGATAATAGGTTTAGTGGCACCTATACCAGATATGTAAGCTTATATTACTTCATAAAGATTATCCAAAAGCATAATTACTTCTTTTGCATTTTATGATTGTTTAAAACTTTTTAGCCTGCCAAGGGTTTGGAGGAATCCTATAGTCGCAGCTCAAGTGCAGAAAATAACAATGTGAACTGTACGATTTCATGGAGCCAATAAAATATCTGGATAGCTTTAGTATAACTTCAGAAGAAAGGGAAAGTGAGAATAAGATGTCAAATGACACGAAGGGATGTGAATTCTCCATGGATCACTCACGGACTAAGTGATACGACTACATAAATAACGTTGAGACACTTTTAGGAGAAGCAATTTTGTAAAGGAACTGTTCAGAAACATATGAAGAAGGAAAGAAGTCTCACCAGGCTCTGATACTGATGGAATCGATCGGTGCATCTCTCCCTCCTCCATGCATCGAGGTCAAAGACGTTCACGCCGTAGGCCCAAGCGCACGCCCTCGGGCTGAATTGATCCCGGACTTGAGGAATCGAGAAGTTCAAGTACCTGCTGTACCTCCTAAAACCACCGAAGCACGTTTCGACTGCCCCGTTCACCATGCCATCCAAATCGACCCGCCACAGCCCTGTTAGATCCTTCTGCACCACCACGTCGTCCTCCAAAAGCACGATTCGCCTCAGCTTAGGGTACATTTCGGGCAGGTAGAACCTCAGGTGGTCCAGCATCGACAGGTCGCGCCGCCCGCCCTCGACCATCCGGACCACCGGTGAGTAGGAGGAGTTCAAGAACCCGAACTCGGCGAGAGACCTCACCTCCACCTTGGCGCCGCGAGCCGGCAGGCGGCGAACGAACCAGACCTGCATGGCCGCCAGGTACATTGGGTCGGTGACGACATGGAAGACGTGCTTCGAGGGCTCCTCCGCGTTCTTGATGGCGGAGTTGATCACCACGGAAACGGCGATCACGTTGTCGGAGAAGATGGCGTAGTGGTAGAGGTCAGGGTCGGCGAGATCGGCCGGGGCGACTGAGGCGGCGCGGCGGTAGGTCTCGGGGTGGGCGATCCGCTCCTCCATGAGGCGCATGGCGAGGCAATGGAGGCTCTTGGGGGTGGATCCGGCGGCGATGGAGCCGGCAAGAGCGCCGAGCTTCTTGGCACGGTGGAGCTGCTCCCGGACGGCGAAGATGGTGTCACGGAGCTTCTGGATCTTGAGTTGGGTGTCGAAGGCCTCCTTGGACTCGCCAACGAGCTGGCGGGCGAGCTTGATGCGGTCCTTGGCCTCCTTCTCGAGAGGGCGGAGGGCGTCTTCGTCGTCGACAGGGGCGGCGAGGCGGGTGGAAAGGTCTGAAAGAGTTGCGGCGAGGCCCTGAAAGACGCCGAGCTGGCGGGAGGAGTCGAGCTTGAGGCGACGGGCGTAGGCGGCATAGGCGGTGGCGAGGGCGGAGTGGTCGGCGGCCTGGCGGTAGATCAGGTCGAGACGGGCGCGGAGGGGGTCGGAGGCAAGAAAGCCGCGGCGGCGGACTGCGGCAGAGGCGGTGTTGTGGGAAGGGGGAGAGGAGGAGGAGGAGGAGAGGATGGCGGAGAGGGCGGCGAGGGAGAGGAGAGTGAAGACGGCGGAGGCGAAGACCTTGTAGGAGAACAAGGCGCCGAAGCCTGTGACCGGGCGGGCGGGGCGCATTCCGGCCATCACACTGTTCGATGGCGGTTTCTCCGCACCAGATCTTAGACGCGCTACGTTTGGCTCTTTGGCATTGATGAGATAGTGGCAGTGGAGATAGGGAATCGGAAGAAGTGGCGAGTGGAGTGTGAGATGGCGTTCTACCAATTATTATTGCCATTAGAACCATGTATTGTCAAATCCCATGACTTAGAAAAAGGGGTCTTTACAGCTGCATTCTATCATGGTCCAGAAATAGTGTCTTTATCCTCACTAATTTATATTCCTTGGTAAACTGAAATGCTTCACATATTTTTTTCTTTAACATCGGTATAAAAAAAAAGGGTTAATTACAACTATTTTAAGTTTTAAATTTATCATCATAATATAATTTTAAGGATATATTTTTTATTTACAAAAAATAAATGCAAAATATGATATTTATTTTAAGACATTGCTATCAATAATTAAAATAAATTTTTAGGTGAGATTTTGAACCGATCTATGTGTTTCAATTGATTATCAAATTATAATTAAATGATAAAAACTATTTAGATTTTGAGAGGGTATACATATTGATGGACTTATCTCTTTACACATGAGAATTTGCAACACTGATTTCTTTATATCGATAACTTTGCCATTAGTTACCTCCTATTACTCATTAATTTACCGATGAAATCTTTAATTTGTAAGAATATATACAACAATTGTTTGATGCTATGAATCGGTTTTAAAAAGGACTAAAATGTATTTAATAATATTCTTTCTTAAGAAAATGTGATAAGAGTGTTCCTTCGTTTGATCAAGATTCGAATTACATGTTGTGTATTGTTTATTATACTGCATATAAATTTCTCCAATGAATGTGTCTGACTCATCCTCGTTTCCTTTAGTCCTTCTTTAACGAATTTTACTGATTAACTCTTTTATCTCCGTTATTTATCGTAATAGATCAGATCAGATCGGATCTGATCCACCCTCAACGCTTCTGTTTGCATAAGATAGATAGCAACTCAAATCTAACATTCTTATCCGTCAATGTCAGGTATAAACATCTTCTATCCATCAGAACAAAAGAAGAAGAGTTGCTTACAGCTCGTAAAAGATAGTGTAATCATTCAAACCCAGTTGAGCTTCTTTGTGTGTGTCTGAGTGAGCTTACTGCAGATGGTGGAAAACGCAATCATTCAGCCTTTTCCTTTACCAGCTCTGTACAAATATATCTCTGTGACTAAATCTTTAAAGCATTAAACAAGAGAGAAACCTATCCAAACCAAATCATAAAAAGAAACATAAAGAAACTCCAAAGGAAATGAAATGAAATCTTTCACTCTCTTGACGTCCCGCAAAGCCTCCCACTTGGCTACCCGAGGAGGTGCAGCTTCAGCACCGGTTGTGGATGGGATCCGACCCTCTTCGAACCCTTCGTTTGCTGGTGCTGTTGGAATCAAATGATGAAGACTTGGCTGCTGATTTCTTGCCGGCGTCGACATTGGCAAGGATGCGTCGGTTCTTCTCCGCCAGTCCACCTTCTTCACCATACCTGAGAACATGGTCGACGCTTCGCAGGCCGCAGACCATCTCTCCCTCGGAAGCTAGTAACACGACGCACAGAAGAAACAGGAGGAGCTTATCGAGGTTGAAGCCGCCCATTGCCCCTCTACGTCGATGCAGAAGCTCGAGGCGATTCTCGTAAGGCAGTCCCAGCAGATCCTTCTCTTCTTCATGTACCCTATTATGCTGGTCTAAAAGCACAAATAAAGCTCGGATTCACTTCGGTCATGTACCTGCAACGCAAGCAAATCCAAGGCTGTCTTAGAAGATTCTGACAGGCATGAGTAAAGGGATTGGAACACACAATCCTTGGGAAGATAAGCATCTTTCCACAGCTTCCCTTGCCTCTCATTCCTTCCATCTCTCCCTCCCTCACTAAGCAAGTCGTTAAAGAGAGCTGTGGGGAATAGGGCCACCACCGACCCCCAGCACTTGCTTTATCCCCATCCTGTGATCTCCTCATGCCTTTACCTATCCTCTTTGAACCAGGAAGCTCCCTTATCCATGCCCCACCAAGAGAGAGAGAGAGAGAGAGAGCTTCTTGTGCCGAATTCCTTTTCTTTATGCGTGCCTTTCTTTTCACTCTCTCTCTCTCTCTCTCTCTCTCTCTCTCTGTGGATTTGTTGAGCGGATAGAAATCTCTATTTCCCTTGCTGTTGATTATTAATTCTCTTTAGCTTTTTTCCCCAACTGTTCTTGAAGCATTACACCCTTCACTTTAAGAAAAACTGAGGGGCTTGCATGAAGGAAAAAAACTGGTATCCAAGGCATGCAGGAAGACCAATTCAAAAATTCCACCAATAGGTGGATTTGTGCTTTTAAATCTAGAATAAAGCAAAAGAGCAAAGCGATTACTGTTGCTGCTTTCCATGGCCACCTAGCTAAGGGTAGAACTCATCGCAAGGTAAGATTTACATCGTATAGATATTTGGCTTTTTTTTTATCAAGGATGACAAGATTTAAAAACGATTAACATAAATAGCCTTGATCATTCATTCCCAAACACGTTCGTACATATATGCGAATCTACGTTCCTGAGACCTACAAAATATACACATGCAATTCGCAATTCTCACTTGTGAGGAAAGGATATCTGCTTGTGCATCAAACTCTACGATATCTGCTTGTGCGCACGGAGGAGGAAAGGATACAATAAAATATGTTTAGTGTAGTGCGTCTATGTTCCTTCTCTTTATTTATAGAACAAAAATACTTCTTGTTTATTCTAGAGAGAAATCTACTACTTCTGATGATTATACGAGCAAATAAGAAAAGAAATAAAATGATACACGGTCATCACTGATATATATATGTGTGTGTATATATATA